CAACCTCATCTTCAAAGGGACTCCATAGCTACTTGCAATAACAGTTCTGGAATCGATCATCATCATGAACCATCTCAACTAAATCTTTGAGTTTATGATGCTCATCAATCTCAAAAATAGTTGATCTTTCATTTGAATCCATTACAAAATCTCATTCATGCTTCTTCATTTTCTTTCACTCACCACAAACACAAAAGACTTCCACCATATTTTGTTCAATAGAGTCTATCAAAAAGAAAAAAAACCAGAAATTTTAATTTGCGTGTCAACTAGGATCTCCTTCTTGAGAATCATACAAAATAGAGATGAATCTTAAATTTCAATGACACAGGAACACCAAATGAGTTCCTAAATAACTTTGCATAATCACACATTCTCCGCATTTCTCTCTGAAAAAAAGATATCCTTTAATCGAAAACAACAATAGTCGAAAATCGAATAGTCAACCTGTGATAATTGAAAACTATTAGTCGAAGGAAGGAATCTGAGAAATTCGCCAACGATCGATTCTGGAAAATTCTCAATTCAGACACTCAAAAACTCTCAATTCAGATCAACGATGATCCAGTCGCCGACATAAAATCTCTCAATCGCCAGTGAATTGCAATCGACGATGATCGACTCACGCAAATGACCAATGGTGATAATCCAGTTGCCGATATGAAATCTCTCAATCACCAATGAATTAAAATCAATGATGATCGGCTCACGCTTAAATTAATTCTCTTAAATTATTTTATCTTTAATGAAGGCTATAGTTATTCTCTTCCAAATAAAAGACTATATTATATAAGATTTAGTTTTTTAGAACTATTTCCTTCAATTTTTTATTAATAAATAAATTAAACAATATAATAAAAATTCAAAACATTTAATTAATTAGACAAATTACGCTTTAATTTATTAACTTTTCCTCTTCGACTCTTTTGTTTTCATTGCTAAAGTTTTAAAAATACTGTTTTCTTTTCCAAAACAACTACATAATGAATTGATATTTGCTAAATTTTTAAATATTTATATTTGTTATAAATTTATTTCATGGAATATTATATTTTGCTTTATTTATGATTTAGAGTAAGTTATAAACAAAAAAAATTATTAAGTTTTAAGGAGTATAATTTGAAAATTTTAGACATGTATTGTAGTTTTCTGTTGATTCAAGGATTCAAAATCCCATTGTTTTGTATTTTTTCCAAGAATGATGTGCAGATGAGGTCTTATACCATTGTATGACTCTTCTCCTCAAGGGTATCGATGGTTAGAACATTCTTTTTTAGCTCGTGAAGCTTGAGAAATGTGTATTGATCGATCATGTGTTTAAATGGCGCGAAGCGAGCTGAGGCGATGAAGTGCTAAATATACGTCTCACGCTTAGGCCATTGTCTTTGGTCGCCTTATGTACCTGAGGCGAACCTACACAGAAAAACAGTATATTAGGTTTTTTATGACTTTTTATTAATCCAAGAAGCATGTTAACGCATTATCATTCAAAAACCAGAGAAACAAACCAATCCAATCTAGGCAAAAACTCTAAAAATTCAGGAGTTTAAAACACAGAAAATCAAACACAGAAAAAACCAATCCAAGAAACAACATTCCAAATTTCCAACTCAAACTTCAAATAGTCTAAAACTCTAAAAATCAAACTCATCGTCATTAGCACACTCAGCAGCATCTACCAACTCTTCATTAACTCCAATTCATATTCCATGTCCAAAATCTTCTTCAATTTCATCATCTTCATCAATCAACGACATGAGAGGAGTCTGCCTTTGAGTCTGAGATGCTCTTTGAGTGGAGGTCGAGGCATTCTCCTTTCTTTTTTGAGCTGTAGTTGAAGCTGGTGAGACTCTACCAGCTCGAGTCATGTAGCTAGGTTCATAAGCGTCAGAAGCATTGCTGACCATCTCCCAAGTTAAAAATCACCATTGTTAAACACCAAGTCATTGTAATCATCATCATGACCATCCATTCTTCCTAGCAGCCACTCATTACTTTCATCAATATCATCTAGGAGAATGGGATCTATTATGTCTTTTCTATTGTACCGACGTTTCAACGCACGATTATACTTGACAAATACCATGTCATTCAATCGGTCTTGAGCCAATCGATTCCTTTTTTTGGTGTGAAGCTGTTGATAGAAAAAAAAAATCATAAGTAATGAGTAGTAACAAACTCAAGCAGAACTGTAGAACAAAATAATATAAGTCATTTACATGTTAAAATACACTCCAATTTCTCTCACATCAAGTGGCACTTACCGTGAGACTAAGAACCTTTAGGGCTAAGTCTCTAAGTGTTGGAGTAGAGGCTCCATAACAAGACACCAATCAGCTGTAGGTAGAGTCATCGACAAATATCAAGAGTCAAGATAAGTTTTGTTAATTGTTTAAAAATTAAAAATACAATAAATCCAATTCCTTACCTGGTGATTTGTAGTCCTTTGTCGAATTGCCATGGCATTACCAAAGAGTCCAGAGGCACTCTTGAATTTATCCAAATCCTGAGAAATCTGGTCTTGTGTAGCAATATCGGGAACCAGAGTTTGGATGCAGTTATATAAACTATTCATAACTTCTTACAGTTCACCTCATTGGTATGTAGATACTGAAATTCTGGATTCAAAAAATATCCTGCAGCATGAAAATGCTGATGGAGTTGACAATCCCATCGCTCATCAATGATCTCAAACGCTTGCTCTTCTCTTTGGTTAAAAGTATTAGCAATGGCTTCTTTAGCTCTATCCATGGCTTCATAGATGTATCCCATCGATGGTTTTTTCTCTCCATCCACCAGCCAAAGCACTTAACAAGAGGACCGACTAGCTTAAGTGCATAAAACACATTCCTCCAAAAACTGTCTTGCATAATGATTTCTCACTTTCCTTGCTTCTGCCTCCTTTGGCCATTTAGATTCATTCCAGTCTTGAGAAGTTACCAAAGTCCTTATATTGTTCTTCTGTCGGTGATACTGTGCAAGTGTGATAAATGATATCGCAAATCTAGTTACGGCTGGTTGATGCAGATTATGTTGCTGTGTGAATCTTCTCATCATATTCGTCAGCAAAGTATGACTGTAGATGTAGCCATTCATGAAAATGCAACTCTTAATTGCAGTATTCACCCTTGGAATTCGTCCAATATCCTCTAGCATGAGATCTATACAATGTGCTGCGCAAGGAGACCAGTATAGATGTGGTCTTTTAACCATTAGCAATTTTCCAGCTTTCACATATATAGTTTGAAGCATTGTCCGTTACAACTTTGACAACATTTGATCCCCAACTTCCTCCACCATACGGTCAAGCATACCAAACAGAAAATATGCATCTTTTACAACCTCTGAAAACGTCAACAGACTTGATGAAAACTGATCCCTTTGGCGAGTTAACAAGGAAGTTAATGATGTCCTTTTGCACAACAGAGTCACGCCACCCATCAGACATGATTGAACAGTCTTTAGATGCCAATTCTGCCTTGTGCTCAACTAGCTGATTCTGAGTTTCTTCCCCTTCTTTCTTAAGAAATGGAACTCTAAGCTCATACATAGATGGCGGCCTAAATCCAGAACCATATTGGCCAACTAACTCTAGCGCCTCTTTAAAACTGTCATATGTAACAGCGTTAAATGGAATTGCAGCATCATAGAACCACCTTGCTATAGCTTGACATGCCTTGTCCCTAAGCTCTTTATCACAAACTCCAAAGATATCTTTTCTGTCCTTTCTTCCTTTAAGAATATCAAGAGGAGTTGGAGCAACATACCTGTCCATTGGACCTTTACGTTTTTCAGATTACGACGACCATTACTAGGCTGAATGGGATCTTCTTCCTCATAGTGTGTACCATCGTTTTGTTGAGGGATTGATGGTGATTGCATCATCCGAGTTGTGGCCATTGCCTCGGCTTTTTTGGCCATAAAAAGTCTCATCTCTTCCTTCACGTGATCTGGAACTTTAGACATGCCGTCACAGCCGTGAAACCGCCGACTAAGTGTTGTTTCACACGTAGAACTCCACCGTTCATCACTTTACTACAAAAGTTATACGTGAAACTACCATGAACAGTTCCAGGAACTGCATATTTCCTTCCTGGATCAACGACCCTACCAACTACTGGATCAGACATGGTGAAAAAAAAGAAGGAAGAGGAGATAGTAGAGAAGAGACTTTGAAAAGTTGAAAGAAAAGGAAGAATGAAATTTGAACTTAAAAGACACGGTGATGGAGAGTTGAGGCGACTCTTTGAATACACAAATATTTAGGAAATTGGAAACAAAATTTAATGCATTTAAGAATTTATGGCACAGAGAATCACAGAATCACGCAACAACTTACTAAAAACCCAAAAAACAAACTTGGCAACAAGTATAATTGAAGAAAATTACCTTTTCTTATAAGGCAACTCTTGTAGCGCCTAAGGCTTCACGTAAAAGCTAACAGAGGCGAAAACCTTTTGTAGATCGCCTCGCCTACACATGGCAAGGCGCAACACTCATCGCCTCAACTCAAAGTACGCTTAGGCGCACTTTTTTAATCACAGATTCATATCTTACAAGATTTGCGATTTCCAAGCTCCTTTGATCTATACTGTAAAATATTGTATTTCTACACTTTAATATTGATTGTCATGTGGTTGTTCATATCAACACATTAATCCGGTTTCATGAAAGATTAACTGTTTGTCTCTACACTCTTTCACGTCTCTCAACAGAAACTGGTGAATGCTTTGACAAAATGTTTATATTCATCACAGTTTCAGGAGTTGCAATCCAAGATAAATCCTGAAAAATCTAGAAAACTTCATCTTCTAGAGATGGTTTTAGAATTGATTTGTATCGGTTTTCTTTGCCGGTTATCCACAAATATTCAAGGGATATGAACCGAAGGCACAATGTGAATGACTCGTAATCTCTGCTCAAACGCTATCTGTGTGACACGTTCACTAGGCTTATTGGGCTATAAGTTAATATGAAGTAGGCCCATTACATTTATCTCGTCTTTGTCAAAGTCAATACAAAGAGTACCCTGAAACAGATCGTACCGTAATCACTTCAGTGACTGAGATATCAAAGACGATGAGCCTTGCATCCGCCATGAAAGCTGCCGGAGTTTTGGTTCTGTTTGCAATTCTAACACTAGGTGAATTATCTTTCTCTTTTTGAATTTCTTCTGTATCATTCTCTATTTCAATCTGATTTACCATCGATCGTCTCGGCTTTTCACACACATACCTGTGCAATCGATCTGATAAAGCTTTCCATTAGCTATTTAAATATTGTGTTTGATCTGATCTGATCTCCTTGGATACATGTTTGCTGTTTCGCGCTGATTGTTATGATGATCTTTCAGCTTATGCGAAGAAGGTAGCTGATGTGACAGAGTTACAGATTGGTGTGAAGGTTAGGCCAAAAACGCTTTTTCACATCCCTCATCGGAGCTTGACTTTGTCTACATAGTTTGATTTTCATCTCATATTTGCGTGAAGAATATGATCATGATTACGTTGTTTACCTTTCTGGTTTTCTGCAATTTCCTTACTTTGCAATTGCATCGAGCTACAATAGAAACTTGGGTTTTGCTTTTGTTTTCTACTCTTCTATGCAATGGATTTGGCTTCTTCCATACTCTGCAGTTTCGTGAACCCTTGCTTTCATTTGTTCATTTTTACAGTACAAGCCTCAGAAATGCGATCTTCAGGCTCACAAAGGAGACAAGATCAAGGTCCATTATCGGGTAAGTGTTATTAGCTGTATAACTCATGCTGGGAAGGTTCCTTCTTGCTTGCCTGGTAGTATTATGAATGAGAGAAAAGTAGAGTCATATAGAGGTCTTCTTGTTATTGCAGCATTAAAAAAATATGTTCATTGTAGAAACATCACTGATATGTTTGAGTGAGAAAGGGCATGATGATTTGGTGATAATGTGGAATTCATTTCATTAGCATATAGTAGAAAATGTGGATATTGGATGGATAGCTTAAGAACCAAACAACGATAATGAAATCTGATATAAGAAAATGCTTGTCATCTCCTTCCTGCAGGGAAAGTTAACAGATGGAACTGTCTTTGATTCAAGTTTTGAGAGGGGTGACCCTATTGAGTTTGAGCTTGGAACTGGTCAAGTCATTCCAGGTTCTTTGCAATTGCATCGCAGCAATTTCCCACCTCTCGTGCCTTTTTTAATTGATGGACAAAATGGAAGGTAATGCGTTAAATTGAAATGTTTCAGGATGGGACCAGGGTCTACTCGGAGCTTGTGTAGGTGAGAAGAGAAAGCTGAAAATCCCATCTAAACTTGGTTATGGTGATAACGGCTCACCACCAAAGATCCCTGGTATGTTGTCTTTGTCGCGCTAAATTTGGCTAGTAGATTGTTATGTTACATCCTTTTATCTAATGATGAGGCTAGAGATAACAATATGATTCTAGGTTTTCACTTAAGAAGGTGACATTGCGATTGAGATTCGATGTTCCATGAAATGAGTTGTATTATGGTTTTAGCTTGTTGAGCTTTTTGAGTCTGCAGAGAATAGTAACACGATGGGAATGAAATGAATGTGTGGTAAATTGCAGGTGGGGCAACACTGATATTCGACACCGAGCTTGTTGCTGTGAATGGGGAAACAGCAAGCGAAGGAAAAACGAAGAACGAGCTTTGATTATACCATCTTCGTCTTCTTATTTTCCTTTTGAAAATTAAACCGTTAAACTTGTGGTCGTCAGTATTTTAATCTCGAAACATTCCTAGAATCGCTTACGTTTTGCTAGTTGAAGACAATAATTGTGTTTTGGTCATAACATTAGTTATCTAGCAGTTGGAAAATTACAACTTGGCTCGATGTATAAGCCAACTTAAGATGAAAGCTTAATACATATTTTTGGTAGCTAAAACGAGGAATTGCAGAAAATGAGAAAACTCGTATCTTTAAATTCGACGATTTTGTAATTTGTACAAAATTGACAACCAATATAGACAGAATTGGAGTTACCTCGAACCGAACCAACCTGAATAAGGAAGAACCAAATCGAATTGGACAGTTACGAGTGTATGAATACATAGTTCCTTTAAGAGAAAGATTTAAGGTAGGTAAACCAAACCAGAACTAAACTGATATCCAAACATTTCTGAAATATAATTTTAGATACAAAAGTATTACATATATTTACACTTGAAAAAGAAACTAAATACCCAAAATTACATTTATAAACGTAAGTATTTTCGTTTTTTAAGTATTTTGGGTAGTTCACTCGCTAGTTAGAGCAATTTGGATAAAAATATTGGAACCAACCCATATCTGAACCAAACCCAAAGATATTTCAGATCCAAAGGTTTGTCATTTTAGGAACTAAACCAATCCAAAACCCAAATTATCCATACCGGAACCAAACAATTTTTCTTTGATTCTAAATATGGTTTCTAAATCCGAAAAACCGAACCGGACCATCCGGATGGCCATTTCGTTGACACAAAAAAAAGTGTTACAAATGGCAGAATTATCTAACGGATCAAAACAAGAAGTCCGGTTTGTTTCCCTTTTAACCAGCCTAGTTGGGACCCAATCTACATTTTTTTGACATTCTCTGTCTATTTGGTAACAGTTAAAAAGGTAAAGTAGTTAAACCCCAGTGGATTAACGGCGTCACAAGTGAAACAAACATCTGTATAAGTGTTCTGGAAACATCTTCCGTCAGTTAACTCCGTCATCTTCTCCTCCTTTCTCTCGCGAATAAAATTATCATCTTCAGGGCAAAAGGAAAGGAACTCTCTAGAACCCTTTCTTTTTCACCCAAAACTCTAAACCTTATATAATCACATTTCCAATTCCACTCTCCTCCCAAAACTGTTTCTCTCTCTTACTCGCTCTCTCTCTTGCGATTCGTTCTTCTTCACGCTCCCTTCGTTTTTTTCTTGAATCGAGATGGATGAAGACTTCGAGATGCCGCCGGTCGGTGGGATGAACGACGACGACGACATGGATTTCGGTGACGCAGCCTCGTTTCTTAAAGTCGGAGAAGAGAAGGAGATCCAACAAGGCTTGAAGAAGAAGCTTGTTAAGGAAGGCGAAGGTTTCGAGACTCCTGAAAACGGCGATGAAGTTGAAGGTAATCGATTTCGCCGATTGCTTTTAAACTCTTTCGATTGATTGCTTGTTTCGATTCGAGGAAGCTGAAGTTGATTGATCTTCTTCTGCAGTGCACTACACGGGGACTTTGCTTGATGGTACGAAGTTTGATTCCAGTCGCGACAGAGGCACGCCTTTCAAATTCACTCTCGGACAAGGTGCGTGAACTGAATCTATTGATTGTTCCTTTATCTTGAGGCCATTGTTAGCTCAAATACCTGCAAATATCTGTATCTTAGATTTGTGATTATAGTTATATGCTAGTATCAGTGTGCTACTGGGTTTTGTTAGTGTTTATCAGTATTAACTAAGTAATTTAGAAACTAATCTGAGGCCATTTTTAGCTTAATATCTGGATTAACAGTGTCCCAAAGACCTAGAATCATCTTTATCTTAGATTTGTGATTATAGTTATATGCTAGTACTGTATCACTGTGATATTAGGTTTTGTTAGTGTTGTTAGTATAAAACTAATTTGGCAGATGTCAACTTGAAAATGAGCTCTCTAAATTATTGAGTTTGAGATGCCATTGTTGTTAAAGTTCCAAATCGAGTACTAATGCTCTGAATCGAGAGCTCTGTGGACTGAGTTGAGATGCCAATCATGCCATTGTTGTTAAGTTTATCCTCCGAGAGCTCTGTGAATTGAGTTGAGATGCCAATCATGCCATTGTTGTTAAGTTTGTTCTTTAACTTGGCATTGTGATTGCAGGTCAGGTTATTAAAGGATGGGATATTGGTATCAAGACGATGAAGAAAGGTGAAAACGCCGTATTCACTATCCCTGCGGAGCTAGCATATGGGGAATCTGGTTCACCGCCGACTATCCCTGCGAACGCCACGCTTCAGTTTGACGTGGAGCTGCTTTCGTGGTCTAGTGTCAAGGACATATGCAAAGATGGTGGTGTTTTTAAGAAGATTCTTTCTGTTGGAGAGAAGTGGGAAACCCCAAAGGATCTCGATGAAGTTCTTGGTGTGTCTCTGCTTTCTTATGAACCTACTTTAGAGATTGGTGTGCGTTTGAGATTTGTCTAACGGAAGTTTTCTTGCATATTTGTTTATTCAGTTAAGTACGAGGCTAGACTTGAGGATGGTACGGTTGTCGGGAAATCCGATGGTGTAGAGTTCACTGTTAAAGACGGTTAGTGCTCTGGTTTCTTCTTGGAAATGATGGACATGTCAGATAGTATATTTGGTCTCTGACAGGTTTTCGTGTGATGTATGTCATTAACAGGTCATTTCTGTCCTGCACTTACTAAGGCTGTGAAAACCATGAAAAAGGCGGAGAAGGTCCTTCTGACAGTTAAACCACAATGTAAGACAAAATTGTTTCAGTTGCATTTTCAGTGATCTAGGTCTGGTTTAAACAACATATCTTATTCCAATTTGCTTATGAATGAGACAGATGGTTTTGGGGAGAAGGGCAAGCCAGCCTCTGGTGGTGAAGGTGCGGTTCCTCCAAATGCGACGCTTGAGATCACTCTGGAGTTGGTTTCTTGGAAAACAGTTTCAGAAGTAACTGATGATAACAAGGTTATCAAGAAGATCTTGAAAGAAGGGGAAGGTTATGAACGTCCTAACGAGGGAGCGGTTGTAAAAGGTTTGCATTTCGAATTTTCAATGCATTCATCTCTTCTCACAACAGTTTCTTACGTGTCTTACATATAATTTTTTTCTCTTTCCCTATCTGGCAGTGAAATTGATAGGAAAACTTCAAGATGGTACTGTATTCCTGAAGAAAGGCCATGGTGAAGGCGAGGAACCCTTTGAGTTCAAAACAGATGAAGGTAACTGCACTTCTACAAATTTCCTTGAATGGATGTCCTGGACTTTAATAACTCATTTTGCTGGATGGTTTAACAGAGCAAGTAATCGATGGACTTGATAGAGCTGTGATGAAGATGAAGAAGGGTGAAGTGGCATTGGTGACCATAGAACCAGAGTACGCTTTTGGTTCAACTGAGTCGAAACAGGAATTGGCTGTGGTGCCGCCAAACTCAACCCTCTATTACGAGATTGACCTTGTGGCTTTCGACAAGGTTAGTAAACAGTTTTGGTTGTTTACGCCCGTTAACAATTCAGCGATTAAGGAAATATTAGGTGTCCAAACACTTGTTTTTCACTTGGGCTTTTAGGAAAAGGAATCGTGGGACATGAACACGGAGGAGAAGATTGAAGCTGCTGGTAAGAAGAAAGAAGAAGGAAACTCCAAGTTCAAAGCAGGCAAGTATGCCCTGGCTTCCAAGAGATACGAGAAGGTAAAATATAAACCGCTCGTTGATATGTTGTGTTTTTGAGATGAACATCATCATCTCACCTGGTTTGGTTTTTTCTTCTCAGGCTGTCAAATTCATCGAGTACGACACATCCTTCAGCGAGGAGGAGAAGAAGCAATCAAAAGCGTTGAAGGTGGCGTGTAATCTAAATGACGCAGCCTGCAAACTGAAATTGAAAGAGTACAAGCAGGCTGAAAAACTATGCACAAAGGTATAACTAATTGGTGGCTAAGACTACATATCTTTTACTCTCGGTTTCAAAGCTTGGCAATGATGTTAATAATTTTCGATGTTTTAGGTACTAGAACTTGAAAGCACCAATGTGAAGGCCTTATACAGGAGAGCGCAAGCATACATGGAGTTAGCTGATTTGGACTTGGCTGAGTTTGATGTCAAGAAGGCCCTTGAAATTGACCCCGACAATAGGTTCTGTCTCTTACTCTTAACTCTTGTCTATGTTTTGATATCGGATAAAAAGGAGTGGTTGTCGAGTTAAATTTTGATGGAATCTCTTCTTTTATCCAAATGATAGGGAAGTGAAGCTGGAGCAGAGACGGTTGAAGGAGAAAATGAAGGAGTTTAACAAAAAGGAGGCCAAATTTTACGGGAACATGTTTGCGAAACTAACAGTAAGTGTATCTCTAATTTCATTGTTGATCTTACGCATTACCTCTACTGAAGAACAGAAACTTATCTTTTATGTTTGTGGGAATGTGCAGAAATGATGCAGCATCATCTTAAGCATCATGCCCGGAGAAGAAGAATGGTTTATTGGCTTTTGATGTTTTGGTCTTTTTCTATATCTTTTCCTTAGTTTCGGTTGACTTAATGTTTTTAGATTGACTTCTCTTTGGATTAAAAGTCCACCATTTTCAGACATTGTTGTTCTTCATTACTCGCTAGTTTCTGAGGATTAATAAACTAGGTTTTTGTCTTTCCTTGTGTGATTCGACTAAGTTCATCAAGCATAAAGCCTAGTCCTAAACAAATTGAGAGTTGTTTTTAGTTGAACTGAAAATTCTCTTGCCAGTGTTTCTACGAAGCGTGTCATAATTGCTGCTCAAACTTTAGTTGAGAGTTTATTATCTGAGCTGATCAGAAGTTTTGTCCGTCAAAAATGGTTCGACCGATTCGTGTTGCCCGACCTATTCAACACTGAATGTTCATCGTCAATTTTGTTCTTCTTCTTAAAAAATAATAATAATAATAATAAGAACAATCGTCAATCAATTAACTTTTGATTTAAAAATCATAATTTCCACCATAGAATAACTCAAGTGGGGAGAAAGATGGACAGGATAAACTATACAAAAAAAATAATCTATATTTCAAAATAATCGTTTGCATTTTCTCATTGCTATTGAAAAGTCCATTGGAGTGGTCTTATTTCTCTTTGAATATTCTTTTAAAGAGTTTATTTATATTTTTTAAAAATATAGTTTACATTCTTTGTAGTGATAATGGATTGTCTTAAATTCGTCGTCACCGACTGGTTCTCCTTTAAGAATAATTAATTTCCAAAAGCTTAACGAAATGGTGAATTTGATGTTAAATAAAAATGAAATTATTTGCATTAAATAATATTTACTTCAGATATATTTCCTTGTAAGAAGAATACAGAAGGAATATAGTAGCTATCTTTAAAACGTGTCCGTCCACGTCACCATAATTAACAACTAGAAACAAAATCCTCAGGTACCATTGGATATCCTTTCTAGCCACCAGTCTTGCATCAAATGAGATAAAATCATAAAACAAACAAAACTATAAAAGGTAGAAAAAATATAATAATAATAAACATAAAAAGTAAATTAAATAAGAAACAACGAATATTCCCAACTAAAATGCTCCACATATTTTCACTCAAACCTCTCACACTTTATATTTGATTCTCTCACTTTTCACTTCTCACTAAATTCTCATCAATCAATGGCGATTTTCTCAAGAACCAAACGTGTCACTGATCCACTCGAAGAAGACGCCAAGGCTCGAATCTTCCACCACCACCAAAGCTGCACCATTCCAGACCAAGACTCTCCTCCACTCTCCGAACTCGTTCACAGTTTCCTCGAGGAGGATGGTAGTCCCGAAGACACATCATTACAAACATCCCACAACTCTGACACCGACGAGAATTCTGAATGTTCCGATGAGGAGATCGTGAGAATGGCCGTAAGCTTCTCCGATTCCGACCCTTATCGGAATCTACTGCTAGCTCACGTTTTACGAACCGTGGAAGCATATTCCGGTCTAAGATCCCGGAAAAACTCTGTTTTCGTGGACAAAGTAGCATCCTTTCTTCAAGAGCTTGGCCACGACGCGGCGGTTTGTGTCTCGAAATGGAACTCATCGGCTAAACTCAACTCCGGGAGTTACGAGTTTATAGACGTCGTTTACAAGCCGGCGGATGATCGGACGGCCGTCGCCGTTCGTTACGTCGTCGATCTTGACTTTGCTTCGAAGTTCGAGATCGCGAGACCCACGCGACAATACACGCGTGTGTTTCAGTTGCTGCCTCGTGTTTTCGTAGGGAGAGAGGAGAGTTTGAGGACGGTGGTGAGAGAGTCGTGCGAGGCGGCGAGACGGTCGTTGAAGAGTTGTGGCTTGTCTGTGCCACCGTGGAGGAGAAGCTCTTACTTGCAGCAAAAGTGGTTTGGTCCGTACAAAAGAAGGGTTGGATCTAGCTTGGGAGTAACGGCGTTTAGTAAAGACGCCGTTAGCTGTCGCTCTATGGGGTTTGATGACGCCGTTAATGCTCGTTTGTTCATCAGGACGTGACTGGATCCATGCAGTATCAAGTGTAGGCCTATAGCTACGTAGGGACTACACTTTTTTTTCTTCTTTTCATCGATTTTAAAATTTTTTTATATATCATTATAAATTAAAGACTAAGATGTGGAAATATTAATTAGCATCCTAGAACAAAGACTAAGCGTTGAAAATATGAAGAAAACTGTAGCTATCAGCGTTGAAAATTACATTGGACTAATCTCAGCCTTTTTTAACAATAGACATTGTTATAAAATAAGCTCGCTTCTGATACATAAGTATCGCTTGTCATATACAAATAACTTTCATTACTTTTGTCATAACAATTGCTATTTGTATTAATCACAAATAATCATAACAACATATTATATATATTCAAACAACAGACTGTCAAAAAAAAATTAATTACGAATTTTCTAAATAACATGTTTAATAGAAGACATAGGTTAAATAACTTGAAACATGCTACTGTATTTAATATTTTGGATCATGCCGAAGCAGTGGAAGAATTCAGGAAATGTGAAAAGGTCAAATTTCTGTCGATCTATCTAATGACGTGTGCCTTTAAATTAAATAGTGAAAGATGGAAAGATTGGAATCGTTTCAGAGTCCAGTACTGGAATGTAGTTTGAGCCTTGCGATAAGAAATTTAATTCAAATCCTTCAGAGGAGATAGTGAAGAGAGCTATATAGAGCGTTTAACTTTATGCATGGTGAGTGGTCTTAAGAAAATATAGTTTAGGTAAAACTTAGATCAGCTTTTAGCGTTTTGAGTTTGGATTCATGCTATTTGCTTACAGCCATATGTAATCAATAACACATGGAAAGTATCCTCAGGCCATGAAAGATAAGGTCGGTCTGCTCGATTACCATGCATTGTTTAAAACCGAGCAAAAAGGGTTCTTATGATTTTGTTGGTAATCAGTTACTTCGCATCTGCATTTTGTTGCTCATCTAGACAATGATGATTCAGAGAAACCGAGTTTGGAAGCTGATTCTCCTTTGCAATTACAATGTATGCTCTGCTTTTCTAACCATTAATATTTCTTTCTTTTCTTTACTTGCACCAGAAAGTCCATAAGTTACTTATTCATATTATACATATGATTACATAGATTTCGGTGACCACTTCTAACCGAAATCAAATTAATGTCTAAGTAGACTAGTTTCAGTTTCTGACACCAGATGAAAGCCAAAGCCACAACTATATAAAGCATTTAGTCATAAAAGCAAAACAGGATCTAATACTAGTAATTATGCTACGCAAATAAAAGCACAAAGAGAAGTTATCCTTTAGAATGGGAACAGTATCTCTACTTCCGCTTTCGTCGATAGGGTTTCCTCCACCCACTACTAGGTGGCTTCCATGTTCTTCTAAGACAATGTTGAAACCTCTATTTTTCAAAGTTTCAAAAATACTTGAGAAATTCGGATCTTCTCGGATGTTTTCTGAGAGTATAATCGAACTTGATGATATCGCTTTGGCATAAGCTTCGTTTCTTATAAACTCTCCCATGCTTATTTCCTGTAAATAGTATACATATCTATAGATTATATACATATATATATATATATATATATATAAGCTATAGAAAAGAGTCTGAAATTAGGGTTTACATTACCTTCGGGTACGAAAGAGAATAAGATTCCTGCCTCTGCATATTTTCTATCATCACTTCTGGGAGGCTATTTTCATCAACGTATGCCATGATTGACACACAACTCCTTTTATGAGCTGATGATGTGATATTCGAATAAATCCTCAACGTCCTCAACGTCCCAAAAGACTAGGGTTTCACAAAATAATTACGAGCTCGTCAATATACAATTGATTAGATCCATTAAATTCAGCTGCGTAATTGATTATAGACAAACCAATTTAGAGGAAGACAGAGATCTTACCGGTGAAGTTTCTGCGCATGGTTTCGACTGATTTATCGAGTAAACTAGAGACGACGATGAAATCTAATTAATTTGGAAATTAGGGTTACATTTGTGCTGCGTCTATCTAAAGCCAGAGAGTATCTTATTATTGATCCATTGCTTATATATATAACAAAGGTGTAGTTTATAAAACAAAAAACAATAGGTAAAAACTAAAAAAATATTTCTTTATTAAGGGAAAAACTCTTATCTTATTGTTTCCATAAGCAGTGTATATATACATTACATAACTAATGTATCAGAAACCCTAATGGGCCATGAGACATTAACCTGATGGTTAATGGGCCGGTTACTAGAAGTCCATTTGTTTATAACACTCCCCCTTGGACAAGGTAACCGTGCCTGTCACAAAACCGGGATCTCTATAATGCGCTGGGGAATGTTACCTCATTAAAACCTTACCAGGAAAACCTAGTGGGAAAAACCATGGTGAAGGAAAAAGAGTACAACACGCATTACTCCCCCTGGTTTAGGCATCACTGTAGATCTCTAAGTCTACGCATTCCTATCTGATGAATGAGCTTCCGGAGTGTAGAAGTCGGTAATGATTTAGTGAATAGATCGGCTGAATTTTCGCTTGATCGGACTTGCTGAACCTTGACCTGACCATCCTTCTGCAGCTCATGAGTGAAGAAGAATTTGGGCAGAATATGCTTCGTCCGGTCACCTTTGATGTAGCCGTCCTTGAGTTGAGCGATACAAGCTGCATTGTCTTCATACATCACCGTAGGCTCCTTATCTTCGTCCATACCACAATCTGATCGGATATGCTGAGTCATGGACCGCAACCAAACACACTCTCTACTAGCTTCGTGAATGGCCAAGATTTCCGCATGGTTGGATGAGGTAGCGGCAATAGTCTGCTTCATGGATCTCCAAGATATGGCTGTTCCTCCATGCGTGAAAACATAACCGGTTTGAGACCGGGCACAGTGCGGATCTGAAAAATATCCTGCATCAGCAAAACCAACTAGACCATCCTTGTTATGGTTAGAATAAAATAATCCCAAGTCCTTAGTACCTTGAAGGTGTGAACTAAAGCGAGCTAAGAGGCTCACGGCAAAGCAGATGTCTGGTCTAGTGTGACTAGCCAAGTACATTAATGCTCCTATAGCACTGAGGTATGGCATTTCAGGACCGAGGATTTCTTCATCGTCCTTCTTTGGACCGAATGGATCACTATCCAATCCAAGGCTCCTCACAACCATTGGGCTGGTCAATGGGTGGGCCTGGTCCATATTGAATCTCTTGAGTACCTTTTCAGTGTATGCCAATTGATGCACAAGGATTCCGTCATTGACGTACTCAAGTTGTAATCCCAAACAGAATTTAGTTTTGCCTAGGTCTTTCATTTCAAACTCTGCTTTTAAGCATTCAACTGTTTGGGCGATTTCACCAGATGTTCCGAGGATGTTCAAGTCATCCACGTATACTGCTATGATTACAAATCCTTTGTTTTGATATTTTCTGATGAAGATGCATGGACTGATCGGATCGTTTTCGTAGCCTTCTCTGATGAGATATTCGCTTAACCGGTTATACCACATACGTCCGCTTTGTTTCAGTCCATATAAGGATTTGTTCAGCCTAATGCAGTGTTTATCACGAGATGCATGCTTATCTTTGAGCTCAATACCATCTGGTAATCTCATATAGATTTCACTGTCCAGTGGTCCATAAAGATATGCGGTTACAACATCCATTAACCGCAAATCTAAGTTTTCTCTTATGACCAGACTTATGAGGAATCGAAATGTAGTTGCATCCACCACTGGAGAATAAGTCTCCTCATAATCGATTCCGGGTCTCTGTGAGAATCCTTGTGCTACAAGGCGTGCCTTGTATCTAACGACTTCGCCGAGTTCGTTTCTTTTACGCACAAAGACCCATTTGTTTCCCACTGGTTTAACATCGAATGGTGTCCTTAAGATCGGACCAAACACATTCCGTTTCTTTAAACTATTCAACTCCACGTTTATGGCTTCTTTCCATTTCAGCCAATCTGATCTACGAGTGCACTCAATTATAGACGTGGGTTCTAGATCCTCTTGCGTGTGCGCAATCTCAAGTGCTACCTTGTATGCAAAAGTTTCATTGATGTCGACACATAGAGAACCGAATATGATATAATTGATTGAGATCTCATTATTATCAATCCCTTCAGAACCTTGAGTTTTGGCGTCCCAAACCTCTTGAGATGGTTCGATAGGGTAAGTATCAGCTGAGGCTGTATCCGTGTTCTCTTGAATCCCGGTTTCAATCATTGCACCTTTCTTTGATTTCCGGGGATTCTTATCTTTGGAACCTGTGGTCTGCCACGTTTCTTACGTGCGTCAGACTCTGTAGCAACTTGACTTTTCCCTGAGGGGACATCTATTCGTACTGGTGCATTACAAGCTGGTATGTACGATTTGGTAACTTTGTTCGGGTCAGCAAAGGAATCTGGCAATTGATTAGCTAGCTTTTGTAAATGTATAATTCTTTGGACCTCTGAATCACATTCTAGAGTCCGAGGATCTTGCCATTGTGTGGATGTTTGATTCCATGAAAGTTCTTTTACCAGCTTGTCTGTCTCACCACCTAATCTAGGATATACCGATTCATCAAATCGGCAATCTGCATATCTGGCTTTAAACAGATCTCCTGTAGTTGACTCGAGATATTTTATGATGGTGGGAGAATCAAAACCAACATATATTCCCATCCTCCTTTGAGGTCCCATTTTAGTCCTCTGTGGTGGTGCAATGGGTACATAGACTGAACACCCAAATGTTTTAATATGGGAGACGTCTGGCTCATGACCCGTTAGCAATTGGGATGGTGAATATTTGTGCTCACTAGATGGTCGTATGCGTATTAGTTCAGCGGCATGTAAGACTGCGTGTCCCCAAGCTGAGACCAGGAGTTGTGACCTCATGAGTAATGGTCTAGCAACCCATTGAATTTGTTTAATGAAGGATTCAGCTAATCCATTTTGTGTATGGACATGTGGAACGGGATGTTCAACACTTACCCCCATGGACATACAATATTCATTAAACGCTTGGGAAGTGAATTCACCAGCATTATCAAGACGTATAGTCTTTAATGGGAAGTCTGGAAAATGGGCTCGTAATCTGATGATTTGGGCCAATAACCTAGCAAAAGCCTGGTTCCTAGAAGAGA